TCTGGTGACAAAGCATCATCTTGGAAGCACAGAGCAGCCCTCACCAGACACCAAACCTGCCAGCATCTTGATCTTGAGCTTCCCAGCCTCCAGAACTATAAGAAATAGGTTTCTAGTATTTATAAACTACCCAGTGTGTGTTATAGTTACAGCAATAGGAGCAGACTAAGGCTCTGGCATTCTGTGAGCCTACAGACAACACCACGTGGACACCGCCAAGGTTTCCAGCTTGTATTTTCCAAAGTAGCAGGTCCAGCCACACCTGAGGCCAATTTAGCCACAACTAGAGCAGCCAACACAGCTGGGGTACTGGTGCTGGAAGCAGCTTCCAGAGGTGGCCCTGGACAGTGAGCCTGTAGATGGCACCTCAGGCCTCTTCCCCGAAACCATTCTGTCTCCCTAGGCCTCTGGGCCTGTAATGGAAGGGTTGGCCCCAGAGGCTTCTGCAATACCTGTGGGGCCTTTTTCTCTTCTCTTGATAATCCCTTTCTTTTATACTAATCTTCTTAGCACCATTGCATTTTTCTCCTGAAAATGCTCTCTGCTTCTCAGTCACATGTCCAGGCTGCAAATTTTCCAAATCTTTACTCTCTGTTTTCCTTTTAATTCTGGCTCTAAGTTGTGCCTTTGCTGCCATAACTCAGCATAGGCTGTTACAAGTAGCCATGCAGCTTCCTTAATGCTTTGCTGCTTAGAAGTTTCTTCCACCAAATACTCTGGCACACAACTCTTAGGTTCCAACTTCCACAAAGTCCTAGGGCATGGACACAACACAGCCAAGTTCCTTGCCCGTTCATAGCAAGGGTGATCTTTGCCCCAGTTTCCAATAAGCTCATCCTCATTTACACCTGAGATCTCAGAATGGCCATCACTGTCCATATTTCTATCAGCATTCTGCTTGCCACCACATAACTAGTTTCTAAGACAGTCCAAACTTTCCTTCATCTATTTGTCGTTTTCTGAGCCCTCCAAACTCCTCCAACCTTTGCCTAACACCCAGTTCCAAAGCCATTTCCACATTTTCAAGTATTTGTTATAGGCAACACCCCACTTCTCTGGTACCAATTTTCTGTATTAGTCCATTTCTGTTGCTTATAACAAAATACTCGGAACTGGGTGACTTATAAAGAAAATGAAATTTATTGCTTACAGCTTCAGAGGCTGGAAGTCCAAGTCCAAGGAACACATCTGGTGAGGGTCTTGGTGGTGGCAACAGGGCCCTCACATAGCAGAAAATGGCAGAGGAGAGAGAGACTAACCTCTCATGTGCTCTTCTTTTAAAGCCCTCTGAACCACACCCCTGACCACCATTATTAATCCACTCACTAAGGCACAGTCCTATAATCTAATCACCTCTTCAAGGCCCCACCTTTCAATTACCATAATAGGATTTCCCACCTTCCGAACAGACACAGTGGGGATCAAGCTACTAATACATAAAACTAGGGGGACACAATTGAAGCTTCAATGAGTTTGGGGAGACATTCAATCCACTACAAAACACTTTGCAGAAGGTTCTCTAGTTTCTTAGTGCACCTCTGCACAAGCTGCGGACATAGTGCTAAACCGTGATTCTCTGAGGATGCTGTGAGTGGGACCAGCAGAAATAGCACGTGGAGCTCTTCAAGGCAAGGCTCTGGGGCACAAAGCTCCATGTGTCTGGGACCTCCCCTCTCAAATATCACTGGTCTCAGTGGTTTTTTATTTGTTTTTTAAATAATTTTGTCTTCTGATTATAAAGGTAATAATTGTTTATTATGGGAAATAGAGGAAAACAAAAAAGAAATTAAACATTAATCCCACACCTACAGACAGTCTTCTAGACAGTTTTCTACAATACAGACACTTCTTTTTTTTTTTTGTCTTTTGTCTTTTTTCCGTGTCCGGCAACGGATCGCAACCCTCAGTGTTGCCCCCATACCGGACCGGGGACCAGCAACGGGATCGCAACCCTCAGTGTTGCTCCCGCGCCTCGCTCAGCCAGTGAGCGGCCGGTCTGTATGTGGGATCTGAACACTCGGCGGGAGCGCCACCGTGCTTCCCAAGTGGCGCACTGTATAATTCATGCACTTTTTCTTCCTTTTTTTCCAATCAGTATGTGGTTTGTGCTCTCTCTCCTATTTTGTGACCAGCTTATTACTTTTATGACTACAGAAGAAATTTTACCAGAATTCTACTGCTTTACTCCCAACTTCCTGCTCTGAGGAACATAAACCTTTGTGTACACTTCCAGTTATCTCCTTAGAATAAACTCCTAGAGATGGAATTACTAGAAAAAAAAGAGTATGTAAGTGGAGGCTTTTATTCACTGCCAAACTACCCCCAAAAGTTAATCAGTTTATACCCCATTAGCGTGCCCAAGAAAACATACGCTGCCCTTGCATTTCGCCAACGCTGGATGTTACCTTTCTTATCTTTAATATTTGCAAGATTGATTGGTAGAAAAAAAAAAAGCAGCAGCAGCAGCATTCCTTCTTGTACTAATTCTTTAGTTTATAGTGAGGATAAAGATAATTTCATAAGTCTGCCACTTTAATTTCTTAATTTGTGAAATGCTAATGTTTTTCTTCGATTCAACCAGTAAATATTTATTTCAAGTGGACTGGCTGGTTAGCTCAGTTGGTTAGAGAGCAGTATATAACACCAAGGTCAAGGATTCAGATCCCTGCACTGGTCAGTCATCCCCCCCTCCCCCAAATAAATAAATAACACGCAAGATGTACTGCAAGCCTAACAGCTGCAAGGCACTGTGCGGGTACTGGGAATATGAAAATGTATGAAAATGTAGCAAGACCTTTCTGGGTGCTGGAAGACTGCTGCCAACGAGGAGCACTAGCCTTGGCATAATTCAAGGCGAGCGGTTCTGATGGTGCTTTCAGAACCATTTTTGAGCCCTACAGTAGGATCGTGTTACCTGTCTCCCATTAGCAGAATGACTTGTACCCAATTCATCTAAAATAATGCCAAATTCTTTAAGAATAACTTTAAGGGGAAATGTAAACAGCTAGAATAGATGGTAGGACAGAAACACAACCTAAGACAAATTAAACAGTGGCCCAGACCCAGGTAACAAGGTCAGGATGAGCTACAGCCTATGAGGGAAAGTTCTGAAAATGATGAAAGGTTTTTTAGGGGACGATGTTTCAATAAAGAAGATGATGGACAGGAGAGGTCCATTGCTCGAGAAACCTGGTGCTCTCTTCTTTCTGCATTCTTGAATCAGAATGATTCTGAAATAGCAAAGTCTAAATCACAGACGGTTATCACAGGACTAGATCAAAGTGTGCCTAAGCTTAGGGCACGTGCCCCAGACCCTACGTGGGCTCAACCTCTGTACTGTGAACTTGAGGACACAAGCAGAACCCTGATCAGAACTTCTGAGGACAAAGGTCCAGGAGATTATTCGCACAACAAAGAACAGAATCCAGACTCAAATTCAAAAGATCTGGAGAGACTGGAGCAAGAAGTCAAAACAAATGAGAAGTAATTCAAGAACACGGTCTAACCTCTGAACAGTTTCAGAATTGTTAGAAGCCAACCACAGAAGCAGAAAACAAAAAAGTCCCAACTTAGCAGTTACAAAGAAAAAGTCTGAGGGGTCTCTCCATTAGTCAGCAAAACACACGCTGACTGAGGGCTGCCGAACAAGCCACCATCTGGGCTGCAGCAGCCCAGCCCAGGGCCACCTGCTCTCCTGCATTGGGAACCTGGCCCTCAGCCAAATGACTCAGCAGCAGGCCACAGGGAAGGACACCTGGAGCCAGAGGGGTACAGAAGCCACACCCCCAGCACGACATGAAGACAAAGACCCCACAGGGGGTGAGAGAGCCACCCCCAACTATCTGAAGAGCTGTCAGGAAGATGTAGAATAAAACTCACTTTGTGTAATCTAGAGACAGAAAATGCAAAGAAGCCATATAGATGTAACACCAGCCCCCATCTATTGAGCGCCTACAACGCACAGGTGCTGTGCACTATCCCAGTGCCACCGACCTCCCAGAGCCCCAGAGGCCCCTGGGAAAACGGAGACCACAGACTCAGGGCACGGGGCACAGGTGGAGGTGGCGGCGCATGTACAGCACACAGAGGACAGCCCCCATGACACCTCAGTAAGGGGTACTGTGAGTCCACACAGAGCTGTACAGGGAACAAGAACATGCTCACAGCAGCGTGATTCATAATAGCGACAAATTGGAAACAAGCCGAGTGCCCGTTACCTGATGGAGAAACAAAAGGTGTTCTGTCTGTACAATGACTATTACTCGGCAGGCACTGGTACCCACAACGAGCTGGATGAGCCACGGAGCACGGCGCTGAGTGACAGCAGCTGCTCACGAAGATCCACAGGTTGCACAGAGTCACATGTGGGAAATGTCCAGATGAGGGAAACCCACAGACACAGGAAGACGAGTGACTGCCAGGACCGCGGGGAGGGGACGCGGGAAACGACCACTAACAGGTTTCTTTTAGGGGATGAAAACTCTGGAACCAGACAGTGGCACTGGTTGCACAAGTCTGTGAATATACTAAAAACTACTCAACCATACACGTGAAAAGGGTAAACTCTACAGTACGTGAATTACATCTCAATAAAGTTGTTTTTTCTTTAAAGGTACCTGTTAGCGTTTTCATTTAATATTCACAACTCTGTGAGGTAGCTTTACAGATAAGAAAACTGAGGCTCACTAAAGTCATACTAGTAAAGGACGGAGCCAGGATTTGAAGCCAGCTTGTCTGTCCGATCTAAAACCCTCATCACTAGTCACTATGCTGGTTACACTGACTCCTGCTGAGCAGAGAACAAGGAGGTAGATTTGAGTTGGGCGTGAGAAAGGACAATCTAACAATTAGAGTGGTGTCCTCCCCTCACTAGAGGTTCCCGCAGAGTCTGAAGACCACTCACAGGGCCGGAGAAGGGGGTCCTGCCTTGCAGGGGGGCACACCTGGTAACCCCTGATTACCTTCCAGCTGGAACACTACTATTTTAAATCTCAGAACACCTACTATTTTTCCAATTTCTATGCCGTTTCTTTAAGCTATTCTTGGTTCTATACACCTAAGAAATTGGATTTTCCTATAATTTTTTTAAAACTTTACATTCTTCCACTGTCCAAAATAACATTACTTAGATGCTGTGGCAAATTTCAATCACTCAACAAAAGACTGGGAACTATTAAAAAAATAAACTGTGGAAACATGTGCAGACCACTAGTCCACTTACTGTGAAGTTCATTTCCTTGATGGGTAGCTTCAGGTGTTCAAATCCCACAATCACAGTATACTGAGTGTAATTCAAGTAGCCAAGGTGAGCCACAATAATTTCTGCACATTTCTGCAAATACATAAGGTAGATTTGTGTATTTAAAGCAAACAAGACTCACTCTCCCACCAACTGACCCACAAAGTAACACATTTCAACAACAGATGAGCAGAATTCATCATATCCAGAGAGCTCGCCAAAAGCCCAGAAAAAAGTCAGATGCCAGCCAAAAACAGTTCCTAGAAAGAAAGAACCACACAGATATTTCTGGAAACAAAATATATGATTTATAGTAATTAGACTCTCTCTAATTCGGATGACTGAAAATAATGTCACCTGCATAAAAAAGTGAAGAATGCAGCATAAACCTAATATCTCCATAAACACACTAATATGCAGAGGAACACAAGCTAACACGCAACAGAACGGCAACCTCGGCCTGACTTGTCCTCTTGGCCCACCCTGGCAATCATCGTAGCGATGCACAGACTGAGTGACAGATTTATCTTTCTCCCCTTTAGCCTGTCATTCTCTCCACAGAGCCCCCCTCGCGCCCCCAGCCCACTGCCCTCGTCATAAGGAGAGGCTGTGTGAACAGCAGTGAGTGATCATGTGGACGTATAGGCTTAGCTGTCTGCTGAGAGCCCAGTTCTTTGGTCCTTTGGAAATAAGAGTCAAGTTGCCTCCATTTGGTTGTCCCCTTTGGGAGTGGCAGGGAGCATGAAGCCCTCACTCGGGATGCAGAGGTGCACTCGCTGGCCAGGCATGGAGAGTGGGTCACAGCTCTGCCCCAGCCCTGCCACACAGGCCAGCACGCACTTCATCTGAGAGAATGCTGCAAGATGGTCCGGCACAGCCCACAACGAGCGACCAGTTGTAGGCTTCCTGGATGGTACAGGGAAGAGTGGCTCTGAACAGGGCAGTCACCCAGACAGTTGATCAAATGCTTCCTGAGCCTCGATGTCTGAGGTCAGGGTGAGAAAACAGGTTTGGGTTTTACATGAGAATCCTTTAAAAAAGAGGACAACTGGCGGGGAGGAGGCTGCGTGACACATGCTGGTGCTGATCTGAGGGTCAGGAGAGAAAGCAGATGGGAGGTGATGCGCAGTGACCACAAGGCAGCACGAGGGTCATGGCCCTCGACACCCCTCCAGCGCACAGCCCTGGGTCCACGCTGAGGCCCACAGAGCTCGGCCAATGACGCTGCCCGTTAGGGGCACAAGCTCTCTGCTAACCACATGCCCCACTGTCTATCCTCCCTCGTCGGAAGCACAGGGCAATTGCTTTTTCTTATCCCATCTGAGCTGCAGCTTCTTTCCCACCCAGATCAGCTTCCCTAACTGCTACTGCCCGCAGGCATGTGACCATGTGGCTTGCATGCACAGTGCACCTTTCCTCTGCCACAGTTGGGTCACACGGTGACACTCAGACAGGGGCGGCGTGGAACTCAGAAGGATTGGGAACCAATAGGTTTGACATAATTAAATGCATTTTTGCAGGACACTTCTTACACGCTTAAGAATTTGTCTCGCTTTTTCAGGGGGCGTTTTAATTAACAAGAGTTATGTTTCAGGCCGTGTGTACATTCATGTTTAAAAAACTAAGTGAAACCTCCTGCAGCCTGGAGAGTCCCAAGTTCAAACCACAGTTCTGCTGCGGATTCCAATGCACCTCTGAAACTCACCCGTGATGGTTCCACAGCTTTCTCACCTACAGGTGACAACCTTGCTACCTTAGGCAGACAGTGTTTTCTCTTCACATCAAAAAAAAAAGTGACATAAGTGGGTGGTAAACATCTCTGTAACATAAAAATTCTGTGATTTTTTAAGCCACGGCAGTGCTCCTTGCAGGGTTAGGGAGAGACATGAGTAGACAGGGAACAGAAGAGACATTCCCAGGGGGTAATGGAGTGGAAACTGAGGTCGGCCACCACAGGATGGGGAAGAACCCTCGGAGATGCGCTGAAGGGCCATTATCAAGGCACGCAGCAGGGCGGTGCTTTGGGAAGTGCCAGTGGAGTCAAGCCAGCCCTCGGGTGGCCTGGCTCCATCTGAAGCAAAGATTTAGAGAGGGTGACCAACTTGTCCTGGTTTCAAAACTGAACATCCAATGTGCTAGGAAATCACTTGGTCTGGGCAAACCAGGATTAGTTACCATAGCTTTAGGATAAGCAGTCACTGGCCAACTGTCTAGACTGTGCCTCGGCCTGAGAAGAGGCCAGGCTGGTGCTGAACGGGGCAGCCGGCTGAAGCTGGATCTGCTGTCCTGCCTGGGGATGGGCGGAGAAGCCATCTGCGTGGACGATGGACCCTCAGACCTGTCATCCCTCCTGCACTTGGGCACAGTGGAGGGACACAGGGATGTCTCATGCTGGTACAAATTCTGCCCACTCTCACACACATCATCCACCTTGGTCCTCATCATGTTCCTAAGACAGGCAGGGAAGGCCTCTTCCCTACTATACAGATGAGGAAAATACACTTCAGACTCTGGGTCATTCCTTCCACACAGGTGAGAGACAGGGAGGCACAGCAAGGTCCAGCCACTCCTGGAGCCTTCCCTGGACACACCTCGCCTGCGACACGCACAGCAGTGGCCGAGGCTGCTGAGGCTGGGGGCTGACACTGTGAGGGCTCCGCTGGAGACAGCCCAGCCTCAGCTCACCTCTCCATCCTAGTGCCCTCAGGCTGGGGTTCTGATCCTTCCAGTCTCTTCTATCAGACCTCAACAGAGAGTGCCCAGAGACAGTGGCCAGCCGCTGTACAAGAATCTTTCCCTGCGTGAATTCTCTTCTAGAACAGGATGAACATGGTTAGTATTTTTACCCATAAAAACTATACGAGCTCAGGAATAAAAGAGCATGAGCTTCTATCCAGGTCCCTCCACCTACTATCCACATTACCTTGGGCAATGGTTTTGACCTCTATAAGCCTCGGTTTCTTCTTGTATAAACTGGGGCTCTAACCGTAGTTTCCACTCCGTGGACCCACTGTGAGGATTTAACAAGACAACATATGGAGAGTACCTGGCTTCCGACCGTGTTATCTAACCCCTCGTCACCTGCACTGCCTGGTTTGGACACTCCAGCTCTCCGTGCTGCCAACCCTGACATGGGCTCCATGCCAGAGCAGGGATATGGATCTGATTCTCCCAATTCTGAACCGAATGCGGCACTGAAGAAATCGAGAGTGAGGGCTCACCTCCCCCCTGGACCTTCAGGTTTCCTCTCCAAAGCCACGCACTGCACCCTGAAGTAGGTGCTTAGAACGGTAAGCCACGGATCCTAAGAGGCCTGGCCGCTCTGCCCCCAGACACATCAGGGCGTTCTTCACATGGCTGGAAACAACCCAAAACCCCAGTGACCAGGAACAGCCATGGAATAGGTGCAGACCTTCATATGCGAGAGGTGGCCCATGAACACTCAGCTATGGACACACCAGGCAGTAAGTTACACAAACAGTAAAAACAGGTCTTGTATATGCTCAGAGTATGTGGTGGTAGGTACGTGTGCATGTGTGTGTGAATGCATGTATGTGTGTGTACGTGTGTGTGTGTGTGTGTGTGTGTGTGTGTGTGTGTGTGTGTGTGTGAAGTTTAGAAGAATTTTTAGGGGTATCAGTGCATAAAGGTAGATGAGTTTTCCATGCCATCTTTGCTATGGCTCCATTTTTTAACATAAGAGCAATTTTTTTTAATTGAAGCATTATTCATTATACATATATTTGGGGTTTAAGAACAATTTTTCAAAGCCTCTTGCAGTGTCCTACCTTCTACATCAGAGAAGCATGTCTGAAAAATAGCGTCAGGAGCCTGCTGACTAATTGTGGAGCATCAAACACACTCACCCCTGCACAAGTGAGGGTCCTCGTCCGATTGTGAACTTTGTTATGAATGTACGTTGTGGTTCCATCTTGAGCTACACCATCAACTTTAACTGTCATGAGAAAGCTTGTCTGAATAGAAGTTTCTACCAAAGAAAGAAATCCAGCGTCAGAGACCACAGTGGGGATCTCAGGCCTACAAAGGTGCTCGTCCGGCTCTCCAGTGGCCTTGGAGCCCGTGATGGACCTTAGGCCACTGTAGCCTCAGCACATTTGAAAACCTCACATTTGCCCAGCAAAGTAAAGCCCTTCCGTTAGATCCCACTTCCAGCCTGCTACTCAGCGGCCCATATCAAAGCCTACACTTCACATCCATCAGTTTCACTTCACAAAAGGGCAAATGTTTCATGGTAAATGAAGTTACATTTTTAATTTCCCACATAAATTTTTAATTTAACTTTATACCAAAATAGAAATAGATTTCCTGTTTTTTCTGATTATATAATTTGCTACTTTTCTGATTATATTCTCATAATAGAAAAATCAGAGAACAAAAAAATACAAAGATGGCATCAAACACTTATAGATACCCACCTAGAGATAACCATAGTAACATTTTAGTGCCCATCCTTCCAGATCATTTTCTAGACACACAAATATATAGTAATATAAAACTTACTTATGCTTTTTTAAATGTTACAAAAAGGTTTAATATGCATTTTTTTTAACTTTATCTATTGTGGTCATGCAGTTATCTTTTGAGATGCTTTCTCAGCTGGAGTTCCTCATCTGAATCACAGGACACAAAAAGTACTTTGGGTGATCATTCTCTCAATTCTCCCTAATAAGATATGAAACCAGTGCTATTTTAGGTGAACAGAAGCTAATGCATCATAAACAACAGATGCATTAGGGCAGGGTTTCTCAGTCTCCACACCATTGACATTTTGGGCTGGATAATTCCTTGTTGTAAGGATCTGTCCTGTGCATTGTAGGATTTTTAGTGGAATCCCTGGCCTCTACCCATTACATGCCAATAGACCTCCCTCCTCCCCAGCTGTGACAAAACTGTCTGCAGACATTGCCAAGTGTCCCTCGGGGGGCAGAACCATTGCCTTACAGCATCAGAACTTAATTCTCTCCTAGATCCCCACTGAAAAATGCTGGCAGGTGCAGCACCTGCACCACACAGCCGCTGAGCTCCGCTGACCAGCACTCAACAGAAGAAGCATCCTAACTCACTATCTCCCACGGGAAGACATTTAAGGGGCATCCAATTTATTATAAATAATAATGAACACCTTTGTACATCCATCTTTGAGCACTTGTCCAAATATTTTAAAGTCCTTTCAAACTCTAAAATATGATGCTTTGTACAAAGAAAAATCATCCCAACATGTCAGGCTCCATACCTTTCGATTGATCCAGCTCGACAACACATGTCAGCCATAGTTGCTGATTATATGTAGACAGTGGATTGGAACGTATTTGAATTGGCTTCAGCTGAAGCAAAAAAAAAAAAAAGTTAAGTAATCCATCTGACCTTTCCTTTGAGTCTACCAAATAACTCATCTTAACATCCAAAATGTACATTAAGCAAAAAAGGCTTGAGTGTCAGCTCTAAAACAGAAACGCGTGGTTTTCCTTTGGACAACGTGAGTGAAATCCTGCCTTCCAGAAGAAGAAAGGACTAACGTGCGGCTGCAGCTCACTTCTGTCTCTCATCGAAACCTCTAAGCGGGCGGTTTCCACCGCCTGGAGCCCTGGGCCAATACAACTGAAATACCAAGAAAAAGCCATCTTGGAGAAAAAAATAGAAAGAGCGGAATGATGAGACATTCAATGAGATAATAGAGAAATACTTTCATATTCACAAGATAAAGGATCTTAATAATTATTTCCTTAGTATCTGTATGTCTACATGTCACTGTTTGACATCTGTTATTTTTAGCTTTATGAAAGTCTTATCGCCCCCAGAGAGAAAAATTAGAGGGGACCGTGTTGCCAGTGATTCTTCTGTATGAAGACACAATATTGGTGTCTAATAGCAGTGGGACACAGACAGAGCTGTTTAAGGAGCCCACCCATGGTTCCAGAGAAAGCATTATTTGAATGCCTCATCTTTGCACGTAAATATGTTAGTTCTGTGTTTTAGTACTTCTGTCGGGGTCTCCATGAAACTCCCTACAACCAAAGACTTGCCTAAAAGCCATCAAGGATATGAAACCTATCAAGGGTGACACATTATCTTTCTGAAGTGAGGATGGTCTCTTGAAAGCAAGTCAGTTTGAGTGGGATGGCTGCTATTTTCAGTGTCAAAAAGAGACTTACACTCTGAGAGACAGAAATTTTAAAAGACCAACTACTGCCAGGAAACTCCCCAGGGCACATCTTCAAATCAGATCATCAGCCCAAGAGTTAAAGAATATAGAGGAATGCAAAGAAAATGTGAACACGGGCTACGGAGAGGCCCTTTCAAACTAGTAGTAGCAGAAGAGCCAAAAGGTGCGAGTTTTAGGAAATTTTTCTTCTTTTGCCTTTTTGAAAAATTCTAAGGGTAGAAACCTAGCAGGGAGGTGGGAGAACAGAGAAAAGGGGGGATTTGGAGTCAAATAATCAGATATAAACTATACATGTCACCATGAAGATGCAGGACAACTGTGTTAAGTCTGTAGATAAAAATATTGCTCGACACACAGAAAAATAAAAGGGTTTAGTCGATTGGGCTTTCAAAAGTTAGTATTTATTAAAGAAAACCAAAAAGTTTCCAGTTGAGAGGACCTCTGTTTTCCTCTCAAGATGGTGAAGAGCCAAGGCACATTTAAGAAACTAAAAGGATATTTTTAATTTAAACTGAGTTTATGCAAGGAATACCAAACAATCCTTACAAAGCACTGATTTCATTAGAAACCTGATACAGAGACCGAGTCTTAACATGGACAAATATAATAAGAAAGGATCAAATTCTTAAGTGATTATTGTTAAAATATAATGTAACAGAACTTACAGATGTGAGGAACTGGGATGAGTTAACCGGCCCTCAGAAATGAATTGCTGCTCCCTAAGAGGTAACACCATCCCTCCTAAGTACTGAGGTATTTATTACAGCAGAAAAGGTCATTCTAGGGCCGGCCTGGTGGCACACTGGAGAGTGCGCCGCTTGGGAGTGCGGCGGCGCTCCTGCCGAGGGTTTGGATCCCATGTGGAGACCGGTTCCCGCTCACTGGCTGAGCGCGGTGTGGGCGCAACACCGAGGGTTGCAATCCCGTTACCGGTCAGTAAAAAAAGACAAAAAAGGAAAAAAAAAATAAAAAAAGAAAAGGTCATTCTAGTAAACACGATCCCAGAGGCCCGCAGCTGACCGCGGGATAAGAAATGTGTCGCCTGAGAAGTGAGCCACAGGGCAAGGGCAGCCTATCCTAAGCCCACCAACCAGTACCATCTCTCAGTGGCCCGCAAGTTTATAATGCCCCACCAGCTGCCACTTAGACCCAGTCTTACCTTTTTGCTATTATTTAGTGAAAAATTAGCTGCAGAAGTCTGGATCACCTTGGGTCCTAAAGTGTAACAGAAAAGAAGGAAAAAAGCAGGTTATATCTACACTGACAACTTATTGATTATTTTTTCAAATGCCAAGAAAGACTCATCTGTTACATGGAGGTGGTCTTATTCACCTGGTCTTTCTTTAGAGATTTTATGTATGGAAGTAAAACACAGAAACACAGAAACAAAGACACAGAACATCCACTCTGCCGTGTGTCATGACTCCCAACTCCCCAACGCAGTACGAGTGACAAATGACGTATAGGGTTTCCATGGGAACCCCCCATGCTCTCCATGAGGGCTCTCTCTGCAGAGCATGGACCCTCAAAAACATTAGCTATACAGACACTGTCCATATATTTTGTAAAGTATAAAGATTTCTTCTAAAAACCTAAGGCATACTTATCTATTCATCCAATTAATCTAGTCTCCCAAAAATATTTACTAAGCAGGGAATGTAAGAAAACATAACATATACTAATATAAGCATAAAAGCATAAGGCTTTTCCTAAAATAACAGATATACGAGCTTCACAGATGCTTTTTGTCCCCAGTTTTTTTATTGTGGTAAAATACACACAACATAAAATTTATCATCTTAATCATTTTTAGGTGTACAATTCAGTGGCATTAAGTACATTCATCTCATGCAACCTTCACCACCAGCCACCTCCACAACTCTTCACATCTTGTAAAACTGGAAACTCCGCACTAAACAACTCCCATTCCCCCTCTCCCAGCCCCTGGCAACCACCGTTCTACTTTCTGTCTCTATGATTTTGACCACTCTAAGCAACCCAAATAAGTGCAATCATACAGTATTTGTCTTTTTGTAACTGGCTTATTTCACTTAATGTAACATCCTCAAGATTCATCCATGTTGTAGCATGTGTCTGAAATGCCTTCTTTTTTTTTTTTTTTCCTTTTTGTCTTTTTTCGTGACCGGTAACGGGATCGCAACCCTCGGTGTCGCGCCCGCACCGCGCTCAACCAGTGAGCGGGAACCAGTCTCTACATGGGATCTGAACCCTCAGCAGGAGCGCCGCCGCGCTCCCAGGCGGCGCACTCTCCAGTGCGCCACCGGGCCGGCCCCAGTCATTACTTTTTAAATGAAAGTAAAAAAGCGCCGCCACGTTCCCAAGTGCCGCACTCTATCGAGTGCGCCACCGGGCCAGCCCAAATGCCTTCCTTTTTAAGGCTGAGTAACGTTCCATTGCACGTATATACCACATTTTACTTATCCATTTGTATCTCGATGGATGCTCAGGTCGATTCCACTATTTTAACTACTGTGAAAAACGCTTCTATGAACATGAGTGTACAAATATCTCTTCAAGACCCTGCTTTTAATTATTTTGAGTATATACCCAGAACTGGAACTGCTGGATAACACGGTACTATTTGCATGAAATATCCTCTTCCATCCTTTCACTTCAACCTGTGTCTTTCGATATAAAGTGAGTCACTCGCAGACAGCATCCACCTGATGGTACAGCAAAAGTCCCTTAGGCTCTGTTCACTTTTTTTCAATCTTTTTTCTTTCTGTTCCTCAGACTCAAAAATTTCCATTGTCCTATCTTCAGGTTCTCCAATTCTTTCCTCTGCCTTTGAATCCCTCCAGTAAAGTTTCATTTCAGTTATTGTACTTTTTAGCACCATGATTTCTTTTTGGTTTCTTCTTAGGTTTTCTATCTCTTTATTGATATTTCCATTTTGTTCATACATTGTTTTCTTGACTTTCTCCATATATTCCTTTAGTTCTCTGAGCACCTTTAAGACAGGGGTTTTAAAGTCTTTGTCTAGTAGACTCACCGTGCAATCTTATTCAGCGACAGATTCTGCTGGGTTTATTTCCCCTTTCAATGGGCCATATTTTACTGTTTCTTTGTATGCCTTGTGATTTTTTGTTGAAAACTGGACACTTAAATCTAATAATGTGGTATCTCTGAAAATTAGATTCTCTCTTTTCCCGGGGATTGTTGTTTTCTGTTTTGTTTTTTATGGCTGCAGGTTGTCTCTGTGCTGAGCACCAGCCTGAGTTGTAAACTTTAGGTCTTTTTAATCCTGCACCTGCCTCTGGGCAACCATGGTGACTTTAATTTCCCCTATATATGTGGTTGCTTCTGAATGTCCAAGCCTTCTCATGGAAGCTGAAAGCCTTCAACAGACTCCAGAGTTCCAAAATAGTTATATGAGACAGATTCTGCCACTGCAATTGCTGTCTAGGTGGGGAGACAGATGCCTGGTGCTTCCTACTCCACCATCTATCCAGAATTCTCTCCAAGCTTCATAGGTTCTTACACTGTAATTCTTCAGGGCTTTGGCTTCAAAAGAAGTAGTCAAAGCAAACACCATGAATCTGATTTTAACTTAATTTAGAACCAAATTTGTTCTAAGTCATATCACTCTCAATTTGTGATGCCAGTTTTCTGGGCAGCTTCAGTGACCATCCCCAGCCTGCCGCCAACAATCCTCCACTCAAACGTAGGTGAGAAACATGTATGTACATCAATCAACACAGTAACATGTCTCTAGAATGCATTTATGCATGCTGAGAAGGATGTCTATGTAGGAAGGAGGCTTGTATCCACAATGGGTCTTCTTTTAAACAGATTCACAATCAGAGTAGACTCCTAACCCAGAAAGTAAGGCAGTCTGGTCTCCTGGAAAGAATTAAGAGCTGGGAGTCAGAAAAACCAGGACTCTAGTCTTAGCTAATTAGGCTTCCTAGGTGTCAATTTCCTCATTTGCAAAATGAGGGTTACTTACCCCATGGTCTCTAAGGTACTCCCAACTCTGAAATAATAACAACCTTACCACATAAAGTAACTAGGAGCAGAGTACTTGTGATAGTTAATTTTATGTGTCAACCGGGCCACAAAGTGCCTAGATATTTGGTTAAACATTATTCTGTTGTGTCTGTGAGGGTGTTTCTGGAGGAAATTAACATTGGAATCAGAAGACTGAGTAAAGCAGATTGCCCTCCCCAACGTGGGTGGGCCTCATGGAATCCGTCAAAGGCCCCAGTGGAACAAAAGGACGGAGCAAGGGAGAATTCACTCTCCCCGCCTGGGCTCTCTGTCCTCAAGCTGGACATCAGTCTTCTCCTGCCTTCAGACTCAGACTTGAACTTGGACTTGGGCAGGAACTTAATACCATCAGCTCTCCTGGCTGTCAGGCCTTCAGACTCGAACTGGAACCACATGGTTTGCTCCCTCAGGTCTCCAGCTTGCTGATTACAGACTGCAGATCTTGGGACTTCTCAGCCTCCATAATCACGTGAGCCAATTCCTTACAATAAGTAGATACATTAATATATAGATCTATCTCCTACTGGTTCTGTTTTACTGGAGAACTCTGATTCAGGACTCTCTGGAAAGAAGGAAAGGAATGTGGAAATCCTGACATCATTCTCTTCACTTAGTCTTGGTGCATCTCTTTTCATTTCTGCAAGCGTGAAGCAGGGTAGACATAATCATGTTTAAGACAGAGAATGGCTTAAGGAAAGAAGAGTTGGCTGAAGCCCCACTGAGACTGGAGACCACGAGAATATTAATGACTTGCCTACACATCTTAAAGGACAGTTGTGAAAATCAAGTAAGATAATGGATATGTCTTGTGCTGTGATTAATAAAACTTCTGTTCCTTCGTGACTTAACAGGAAGGAAAAGAAGTTGGCTACAGGTGCTGTTGTTACCAGCACATCTTCATCACAATCATCATCAGGTGAGTTGTACCTGAAGAGTCATCTTCTCCCCCAGTTCCTCAGTCTAGGTTATTTCAGTTTAGGTTTAGAGACTAGACCCTTGAGGCACAAATGCCTCTGGAACAGGTTAAGCCCAATTGTGACTCACACTTTAGTGTTAAGTGCATCATTGCATAAACATCTACCAGAAACTACCCTCACTGAAAAAAGATATTATTTAAGAGGGAAAGAAGAAAATGGGGGATGAACAGATATTCTCCAACCTAAGTCAGGCTCCTGATTGCCTGCCCTTTGGACAGGACTGAGGAGACCCGGATTTCTGGGATCCTTGTGAAAACCACTTGACTTCTCTGGTTCTCCATTTTCCATCTGTGAGAAAGGGGGGTGGCTGGATGATTTCAAAGGCATTTTTGAAGCCAAAATCATTGTGGTGTGGCTTTTACCCTCAAACAACATGCCATGGAACAGTAGGGCTGGTGCCTTAAAGATAAGGGATCTGTAGGCTCCCACCTGGGACGACCATGCTGCTGCCCAGTGCTGTTCCCATGTCCCTGCCAAGAGCTCAGGATGTCACCAGAGCAGCATCCCAGCCCCAGGCAGTGCATCATAACTCTTACGTGGCCCACGTCCACCATAAGGCAGCAGGTTCTGGATTCCCTAGTACCCATGGTGGGCCTGGTGCACGGCATACTCTAGAAAGGTTTTCTTGACCAACAAAAGAGTGGCCGAGCTAAGTCAGGGCCCCTGGCTGCTGCACAGAGCATGACGAGGTCTATCTGGGCCTGCTCACCGCTCCCCTGTGAGAAACACAGGTGCAGCCACAAGTGCAGGGCTGGGACCCCCTTCCACCCTGTGGGTTCAGGGCGAAGTGGCATGTCCCCCTCCACACTGAGGCCCTTGGCAGATGGGAGCAGGTGGGTACAGCTGGGCTGGCTGATGGCAAAATGATGAAATGGTTAAAAACCTGAAACTTACCTTTGATCCCGACAAAGACGGTCAGGCCAAAACAGATGAAGAAGACAACAAACACGAGGACGAAATGGCGCTTGGAGAGTGTGTAGAGCCGCATGGGCGCCAGCCTGGGGAGCAGAAGCCAGTCAGTGAGGGACAGTCAGGGAGATGGCACAGGGTCCCCAGGAGGATGGCTGTGCAGCCACACGTGCCAGCCCCTCACTTCAGAAGTGGCCCTGCTCTGAAACCAGGTGCCTCCCCTGACAAAAGAGTCTCGAAGACCTAGGTGACCACTTCAGGGAGCGAACCATGCTCTGTGGACAGTGCCTTGCCACCCCAGTCTGCTCAGGGCAGCCCAAACCTACGCCTCACAGCAGGAGAATGTGACGTGGCTTCTATGCCCACCAGGGCATATTTCACTGTGCCACATGAGTGGTGGCCAGACCCCCTCTACTCACCCTCCCACCTTCAGCTGTCGGAGCAGAGTGACTGTCGAGGACCCTAACTCACTCACGCAGCCAAATGCGAGCTTCACAACCAGGCCCCGCCTAGAAGTCCAGGTGCCAACAGGAGCTCCCTGCCAGCCCACTATCTTATTTTTCCCCTCCAGGGTCTCTCACAACTTAGGACCCCTCCTTCATTTCACCCTGTCCTGGTGGAGGGCAGCCGGACAGTCACGGGGGAAGTCCACCTTTGATGTAACTCAGCAGGATGCCTGCAGTATTCTGTGACTGGCACCAACATGGGACCCCACTCAGGTCTCCTTCTGCCCAAAGCAAATGCCAGTGGGGTAGGTATCATGCCTCTTAGAACTCCCTGTATCAGGGGCTGGCAAACAAAAGGAAAATCTGCAAAGGACCAGACCATCAGCATCTGAGGTTTTGCGGGCCACCGGGCCTGTCGCGGATACTCAGCTCTGCCTTCAGAAGTGGCCAGAGGCACCACGTGAATGCACAAGCATGGCTGTGTTCTGATTAAACTTCGTTTACAAAGGTGGCAGGCTGGGTTCAACTAGCAGTCGGCTCACCCTGACCCTGTTTCTAAAGAGGAGTCCCACAAACCCAAAGGGATGTGAGCAAGGGAGCCTGGTCCACACCGCTAGCACTCCTGGTCTGCAGAGCTGAGACAGCAGGGAGGAGCCTGGCCACCTGTCACATCTGCCAGACATGACAGGCGGCAACACACCCACCCTGGGAGGTGGAGAAACAGGCTCTGCTGGGAAGCAAGGGAAAGGTCATTTATTCATGGCATAAAGCTCACACGGGTATGTGCACACACACCCCCACCTTTGCACGCCCAGGACTGCTGCAGGGCAGGAAGTCAACCACTCGGGCTGGACACAGTCTCAGGGCAAAGGAGAGGCCCACAAGCCACCTCTGCACTGACGTGGCTCTGCTGACACCCAGTCAGCTCTCCCCAGCACAGCCTACGTGATCGCCTGGTGAGGGGACTTTCAGACCAGTGACACTGGGTTCACAGTGAAGAAAGAAAGAATGAGCACCGCCTTGGTTTCCTTTGGGACCTCAGTCCAAGTGCTGACGAGCAAACGATCCTGCTGGGTGTGAGAAGGGAAAGCTAGGGCCCAACAGAACCTAAGCGGCCAGAGACCCTTAAAATACTAGATCTAGAAATGACCTCAGGGAGGAAGCCCAACAACCCCTTCCACTTACAGGTGGAGAAACTGAGGTCTGGAGATGGTATAGTAGCCCGAGACGTCACATCTCTGCCTTTGGCAGTACCTGCCTCTCCCCTGGAAGGAGGCTCTGGGTGCAGGACCCAGCCACGGGACCCAGCCGCCCCTGATGCCCTCCTGGGAAAGCCCTACAGAGGTGCGTGGCTGGCCCAGCCCCAGAGGAGCAGCCCCGCCGTGTCTGTTATTCCAGGTTTTGTCTGTTACTTAGTTTCCTCGCATGGCGTGTTGATGTGTCGATACATTTTTGTTTTAACACTCCACAGAAGGGAAGATTTCTAGGCAGCTGCACGAGACATTTCCACGTTGAAAAAAATTACACGAAGCTAAATGGACTAGATGCTGGGGAAATGCAAATAAAATCTGTAGTTTAGCTATGAGCAGTGCACTGATGCGAGTGTCCTCGTTTTGATAAACGCACCATGGTTACGTGAGATGCCAGCGACAGGGCAAGGTGGGTGAAGTGGGTACAGACACACTCTGTGCTACCTTTGACACTCTTCTGTAATTCTAAAATTGTTTTAAAAAATTACACACATCAATTGTGAGCTCTTCCACTTCACTGTTCTCAGGGTGACACCCCCCCCCCCCCCCCCGCGC